GTCCGCCGCCCTCCCTCCGCTCCAGGCCCCGGTGCATCTCTCTGGGCCCTTCATTCGGCCGCCCCTGCCCTGAAGGTCACCTTCACTGTCGCCCCCCGCCTACGGCCCTGACTCCGCACGTGGGGTCCCTGGAAGGGCAGCCGTGGCGGACACACGCGCGTCAGATCGCGAGGACACGTGCGGGACACCGCGGCTCATGGCGGGGTCCGCCGCCCTCCCTCCGCTCCAGGCCCCGGTGCATCTCTCTGGGCCCTTCATTCGGCCGCCCCTGCCCTGAAGGTCACCTTCACTGTCGCCCCCCGCCTACGGCCCTGACTCCGCACGTGGGGTCCCTGGAAGGGCAGCCGTGGCGGACACACGCGCGTCAGATCGCGAGGACACGTGCGCGCACACGCGGTTCAGTTTCAGGGTGCGCCGCGGCCATAGACAGCGGCCCCACCCCCTGCGCGCCCCGGCTCGGGTAGCTCTCGGGGCCAGGGTCACTGACACTTTCGGCCCAACCTCCGTCTGGTCCTCATCCTTGACATTCCTGTACAGCAGCGCTGCAGTCCTGTGAGTGAGGTTCAGTTTGACGCTGCTCAGGCTTGGACTATGGGAAGAGTGCAAGTTGGGGTGTGTGTGTTTATGGGGGGGTGTTTCTCTGGTTCATTCTGAGAGACAAGATCTTAGTCCTCCTAGGTCTTCATCTTCAGGCTCTGATCTTTGTTCTTTGAGGTGTTGGCTTCCACCTGATTTTTTTGGGGGGGTGTCTGCCTGTATATGGGGGCAAGTTCTTTGGCAGGGGAGGTGTTTGTGCCAGAACTTGATCATTAACCTGCCTTATTGCGAAAAGTGGGTCAGACCAGAGCTGCTGTTTTTAAGGCAAAGGTCGATAGTGTGGAGTGGAGCTCCCAGCACACCCCCATGGGGGCTGTGTGGAAGTGACTTTGGGAGTGGCTGAGGCTTGTCTAGGGGTGGGGCCTACTTGTCTTTCACCTCCCTTGGCTTTTTCTGTTATTTTCATCTTGCCTCAAACTCCAGCCTTGAGGTGGAAAGCCCTTTCCCAGGGCCTTACTTTCCTTCAGTGTCACACTGGTCCTCTCTGCCCTGGGTGGCAGTGGGAGTGCACACCCACACTTATCACCTGTTCCCCTCATCACCTAGGGCTTGCGATCTTCATCTTCTGTCCCAGCTTTAGTGAACAGACTAGGGCTGACTTGGGAGTCAGGATGGGCCTAACACTTGCTAGGCTATTTGGCTCTATCCCCCAGCACAGCACATTTAATACTTTGCCTGGAGAAGGATAGAGAAATGCTAAAACTCTCAGCAGACCATGCTGCTGTGTTTCTAAATCCATGGGCAGGCTGTTTTCCCCTTTATCAAAGAGATCTGAAGAGATGAAGCGACTTGTCCAAGGTCACAGTGATTTCATTGTTGAGGGAAGCATTTGTGTTTCTAGCTGGTGGCCAGCATACCAAGTTTACCCCAGCCTAGAATATGCTGGCTTGCAGGTTTGAATCATGTATGTGAATTGGAGCTTAGGAGAGGAGAATGGTGGAGGATTTCTTTGAGTACCCAGAATGAGGCTCCCTTCTTAGCTGTGTGCTGAGGGGTTCATTCTGCGGGGAGCTGGGTCAGGGACAGGGCACAGCTGTTCATCTTGGGGACACAGGGCTTTCTAGTAGGTAGGACCTTGGCTCCTGTATCCCTGGGAAGGTAGTATAGATAACTGAGACCCACTGCAGCCAACTTGGATCTGTTCAAAGAAAGAAACGTTAATGGAGTCCCCCCTCCCCCATCCCTGGGCAGGCTTCCACATGGGCATCAGAACTCAGCCCCCTGACCTCACACTATCTCTGGAAGCTCTCCAGTACCTATGGAGGAGGGGATCGGTTATCTTCTTAGGAATAAGGCAGCTTTTAGGGGTTAAGAGAACAGGCAGGTTTTTCAGGTTCACAGTGGTGTGTCAAGTTCCTTCCTGTAGGGGAAGGCTCCCTGGAGTTGAGGCCCAGCAGGGAGGAGAAGGGGACTGGTAGACAAGGGAAGAATTTAGGGGTTTATAAGGTTCCCAACAGGATCTTAAAGCTCTTCTCTTGAATGGAGCCTGGGTGGACAGTAAACTAGTTTTGGACCTTGAAGACCTGCTTCTGGCTTGGGTGAGCAGGAAGTAGGCACACAAGTGTTCTTGTCTCCAGGTCTTCCATAGGCTGCCTGTTGCCTCTATCCTGGGCCTTGAAGCCCTGAGTTCCTAAGATGGGGTGATATACCTTTTGCGGTTCTCTCTTACTGCAGCCTCACCTGCTGAGGCTTTAGCTAGGGTGTGGCCCTGGCATGGTTTCCTGAGAGACTGTTAGGCTAGGGAGTACACAGAGGCTACTAGGGGTCACCTAAGATTTCTTTTTTTGTTGTTTTTTTTTTTTTTGAGACAGGGTCTCCCTGTAGCCCCAGCTGTCCTGGAACTCACTATGTAGACCGGGCTGGCCTTGGACTCACAGAGATCTGCCTTTCTCTGCCTCCTGAGTGCTGGGACTACAGGCGTGCGCCACTACGTCCGGCAAGATTTCTTTGTAACTCCTGTCTGTGGCCACTTGTGGCCAGTGGCATTCCTGTGCTCTGAGGTCTGGGTTGTACATGCTTTGTCTTTCCACTCTGATCTGCCCTGTGGACACCTGCAGGAGGTTTAAGTTAGCTGTTTGGATAGTTGTCGCCAGTCTGCAGAGGACGGCCTTCTCTTTCTCTTCACCTTTCCCTAAAGCCCTGGTCCCTGGAGGTGCTCCTGGTATCTGAGAGCAGGGGAGTTGAGACCTGGGGGGAAATCTCATGACTGGAGACAGATGTACCACTTGGACTGAGTCCTTAGGCTTCCAGGAGGATGGTACTGCTGCAGCCTGCCCTCCCTCCCCCAGCATGACAGTGGATTGTACTGTGGAAGTGATACTCAAGAGTCCTGGGTCTGGGCTTCTGACACACCTGCCTTTTTCTTCTCTTGGCTCCCCTCTCTTTCCTTCTGTGACCTCAGACAGCTCTCTGTCTTAGGTAGCCTTATGGAGCCTCAGTTTCCTTGAGTGAGATGGTGATCTGATTCTGGCCTTGCTAGGGACTGGGTTTGGAGTGAGCACTGGCTCAATGGGATTAAGAATGGAGATGGTATTGGCATCCTCTGGGCTTATTGCCAGGCTGCCTGTTCGCCTCCCAGGGTTAGCGTGTGCTGGGAAGTGGGTAGAAGAAGGGCTCTGTTTGGGCCTGGCTCTTGCCTAAAATTATAATGGGAGGACTAGAACTTCCCAGGGCTAAAGAGAACATCTGCTTCGCTGTCCCTGGAACAGGAGGGAAGGGGGCTTGGAGACAGAGCCTGGCTCCCTACACCCCTGCTGTTTAGTATGGATGCTGGAGCAGTACTAACTGGGCCATGGCAACAAGTCAGAGGCCTGGCGAGGCTGGACATGCTGCTTCTCCACAGCCCAACGGCCTTCGGCCTCTTGCTGCCGCTGCCAGCTCTGTTTTCCCCAGGGGAGTCATTTGATTTTCTTCTGGCAGCGCACAGGCTGCTGGGAAGAGAAGAGGGAGCCTGCCAGCTTCTGGATGCAACCTGGAGGCCTGGGGCATGGGTGCAGTTGTCCTCTGGGAGATTGGGGGCCCATCCCCCTCTCACTAGAACCAGTGACTCTCAGGAAGGGGCCAGCTGCCGGGTCACCTGCAGGGGGCAGCAGGAGCCCAAAGCCTCAGCCAGCCCCTTGACCTAGGAGGAAGGCAGGGTGCTCAGTGTCGGCAGCTGGTGGACAGGGGGCGGCTACCTCATGGCCTGGGCTGGGGTCTGTGCCAGCTGTTGTTGGCAGCTGGCTGAAGCGGTCCTGCCCACTGCCATTGGGGTTGGAGCTGAGAAGACTCCCTTGCTGAGTCCTGCCCCTGCCAGCCAGTCCCCCAGGCTTTCCATCCTGAGGGGCCCAGGTACCCCAAATGCTGGGTTCTCTTGCTTCCCTAATGGCTTTCCTAGCAGTGCCCCCCTTTCTGAGGGGTTTAGGGAGGTGGGCATAAGTGCTGACAGCAGTTGCCTCCAGGGTCCTGGAACCACTGGGGCCTCCTGGCCCACAGATGTCCTTCTAGTTGACCTTGAGCAGAATGCGAGGCAGGGGGAGTGTGCCCTTTCCAGAGCTGCCCCAGCAGGCCTGGCCCCGCTGAAACCTGAAGCCAGCCTGAGTTCCAGCCCTGGGAGCACCAACCCTGAGCCGACCAGCTGCATTAGGACAAGGGTGGCAGCAGAGGCCGGAACAAGGGACACAGGCAGCAATGGGCCTGGGCCTGGGCAGGGGCACCGGCTGCCTCACTGCTATGGCAGTCCTGAAACTCCAGAGCCAAGACAAGCGCAGCTGCTGACTATACCAGGTGGGCTGTGGGGCTGTGTGGACCCAACGGCTGCCCAGGGTGATCACTTGTCCCTGAACTGGTGGTGGGGAGACCTTCAAGGCCCCTTAGAGAAAATGAGGGGGAGGACTAACTGTCCTGGAGAAGAGGAACTAACCACATTCCCTTGAATTTGTCTATACCTGGCTGTAGGATCCTGGGCTAGGAAGGGCGGGGACCGGGACCGGTTTGCCTTTTTTCCCTCCTCCTTCTTTGTCCTCCCTATTCCAGACACCCCAAGGAGCATAGGTTGTCTGTTGAGGTCCAGGCCTGACTGCCCACTTTTGGATCGCTAGAGCTCAAAACTAGGGCTCTGCCTTGGGTAAGGGTCTTTCCAGCTTCTCCCTCCATCCTGGAGGCTTATCAGCCTCCAGAGCCATCTCTAGGTACCCAGTGAGGGGAAGTTTCTTCTATCTGTATCTCTTTTGTTGCTCTTAGCAACCTAGCTAGCCACCACTGCCCTTCTATCCTTGTCTGCTCTGTCCTTAGAGCCAGGTAAGGGTTCACTAGGGTGTGGGAGAAGGTTGTTCATTTCTAAGGGCTGAGGCCTCCTGGCCTGGTGCTGCTAGGTCACTGAAAGGGGCCTTCTTGGTTTGGTTTAGGTTGGTTTAGTTTATGAGATGTCTCTTATGTAGCTCTGGTGGGCCTCAAGCTTGGTGTGTGGACCAGACTGGCCTTGAACTCACAGAAATCTGCCTGCCTCTGCCTCCCAAGTGCTGGGATTACAGGCATGGGTGAAAGAGGCATTCTGTGAGTCCTGTGGTTCTTGGGTTGCACTCCTGGATTGGAGAGGGGCTGATGGGGGCAGAAGGGGTCAGACACCATTGTTGGAGGTCCATACCAGAGGATGGGTATGTGTGGGCTGTGGGAACCTGGGATACACTCTGACTCAGTGGCCATGGGCCAGGCTCCAGCTCTTTCTAGGCTTCAATCACACTTATTTGGGATAAGGTCCTATATCTGAAATCCTGGAGGCCCTGTTTACCAACTACCAACCTGAAGAGTACAGGGAAAGGCAAGAGGTTTCTCCCCAAATCCCCTGGTATGCCTCTGTAGTTTGAGTCAGCCTGTTTCCTTGAGGCTCTTGCTCTGTGGACAGCTATGGGCAGCTTTGAGGCTGTATACCCTATCCTCACTGCTGGTAGCAGGGTAGGGAAGGGACCAGGGCTCTAGATGGACTGGGCTGACATCCAGAGCATATCTGTTGTCTAGAAGGAGACCCAGCCCTACTCAGAACTGGGACTGTGGGACTGCAAGGCAAGGGGGTCACTCTGGCCAACAGGCAGATGCTGAGGCCAAGGTCTTTGTCTGCCATGTGAATATCCAGGCAGGCTGGAAGAGAGGAGGTCCTTGGTCCCCCAGGGTTGGAGAGGCCTCTCCTTTATTCTCCTTAGTGCCTGAGGACAAATGGGAAGTTTTGTCACCTGCTCCTCTCTCTCCTCACAGCTCGTTAAATTAGGTGTTGTTCACAAATACTGGGCTTGACTATAAGTTAGCAGTAATTACTTTGCTGTCTTTTCATTGAGCCAGGGCATGACAGCGTGAATGAAGCAGAATGGCTTCTGGAGGCAGTGAATGGGGCTGGTACTTCTGCCAGCAGGGGTCATTTGGGATGACTTTGGATTTCACCTGGGCCTTGAGATGAGTTGGAATTTGCCCGATGGAACAGTATACTGTGGGTGATAGAATGATCCAGCAGGAATGATTGTGTGTGCATGTGTGTGTGTGTGTAAGGGGCGGGGTCATAAGCCAAAACAGGTGAGAGGGAATGCTGGCTCAAATTTGAGCCTTGTCAACAGAGGTTTATTAGAAGGATTCCAAATAGTGCTCTTGAAGTTGGAGAATTGCTTGCCCCAAAGCCATGGCTGCAGAGGCCAACAGTACCCAGGGGTCAGGTTGGAGGTTTAGGTTGGGTGACTGGATAGAAGGGAGGACTTCAGAGAACAGGGATTGATCTGTGTGAGATGATGAATTCCATCAAGATGAGCCTTTGGTGGTATCTAAGGGATAGTCACATGTCTGCCTGGGTAGCAGTTGCCACTGTTGTGAAGCTTGAGCCAGGCCAGCACTGGCTATGTGGGCTTGTAGGCAGAGGGTATCTAAAGTCATATGAGAGGAGAGGTGCAGTGAGAGGCTGGGGCCCAGCCCACACCTAGAACGATCTGGATAGGATAGAGGTAGAATAGGGAGATGAGAGTGCTTTGTTGATTTAGGAAGAGAAGGAGGTGAACCATGATGTAGTTAGCGCTAGAGAGGGTCTGTGGGCTTGGCCCTGTATGGCACTGTGACCCTGGGGAGGAGCATACTTGGGAGGAATCCCAGCTGGTGGGGTAAGGAACAGTGGGTGGAAAGGGAGGACACAGAATGTGGAAAGGAAAAGGTGGTGGTCTGCAGTGGGGAGGGCCAGTGTTAGGGTTAGGACTGAGTCTTGCAGGTCCATAGAGCACACTCCCAACTGGATGTGTAAGGTGGACAGCCCCATCTGCCCAGTTAGGCCCATTTGACTCAGCTTGTTTCTCACCTTCTCCAGAGACCCCCTCAGTCATGCTGTTGAATGGGGACTGCTCAGAGAGCTTGAAGGAGGGGACAGCTGAGCCACCCAGGGAAAATGGAGTGGATGAGGGTGAGCATGGAGATGAGACCACTGGACAGGAAGTCATTGTAATTCAGGACACAGGCTTTTCTGTGAAGATCCTGGCCCCTGGCATCGAACCCTTTTCCCTGCAGGTAAGATGAAGGCATGCTGGGGACCAGGTTTGAGCCTGCTGGAGAGGAGCCTTTACTTATGCTGGGCCTGTGGGCAGGAAGCTGAGAGTCCTGGGTCTTGCTCAGGGTCTGAGCTAGTGTGGTTGATGAGAACATTGAGTCTAGGTTCAAGTCATTGCCCCATTCCTGGAGGACAACCACCAGTAGGGACTGGGAAGGCCAAAGCCACTTCCTCTGGGGACCTTGCTTTTGCTTTCCTGGTTCCTCCACTCTCTGGCACTGTTGGGGAATTGCTCTTGGGCTCTATAAGTAGTTTAGGCCTGGGAAACCAGGACCAGGCTCTTGTTTAGTAAGCTCACACGTTTCTACAAAAATATGTAAGCCACCATGGTATGCTGGATAGGCCTGGAATTGAAAAACTTAAAAAGTAGCAAACTGAGTGTTTGGGTATTTATTCTAGGAACCCAGGTACTTTGGCCTGGGAACAAAGAAGTATACTCTTGGTTCCTGCTGTGTGACTTCTCACCGAGATTGCTGTGGCTTTTTCCCTGGCAGGTATCGCCCCAGGAGATGGTGCAGGAGATTCACCAGGTGCTCATGGACCGTGAAGACACATGTCACCGTACCTGCTTCTCGCTGCACCTGGATGGCAACATGCTGGACCATTTCTCAGAGCTGCGTAGTGTTGAGGGACTGCAGGAGGGCTCAGTGCTCCGAGTGGTGGAAGGTCAGTCTAGATTAAGCTGCTGGCTTGCCAGGGAAGGGCCCCAGAGTTAGGTCAAACAGTGCACCACACACCACTGCTGGTGTCTGCCTCCCAGCTGAGCATGTGGAGCTGGGACTAGAGGATAAGTTTGCTGCTCAGGTTGTCATACCCTTCCCCTCTATTGATGGCCTTCAGGATAAGACCAGTCTCCATTCTGAAAACAGCCAGTCCCAAACTAGACTCAAAATCAGCCTATCTAAAAAGATAAGTGTTACCTCATTGGGAACCTCAAAAGATTTATAGCTCTTGAGGGGAAAGTCAGCCCATTGTAGAGCCAGCTGCTTTAGTATGGTGAGATTTACCAAATGGTTACTAAAGAAAAGTTTCTGTAGCAGCTCAGAGGGAATTCCCAGGGACTGTCAACTTCTTAAGTGCAAATGTGGAAGCCAGTATATCTTTTATCCCAGTACTCCAGAAGCAGAGGCTAACCTGGTCTACATAGTGAGCTCCATACCAGTCAGGGATACCAGTGAAACTATGTCTTTTTAAAAAAAAAAAAAAAAAAAAAAAAAGGCCAGGCATAATGTTATACTCCTTTAATCTTTAATCCCAGTACTTGGGAGGCAGAGGCAGGTGGATCTCTGAGTTCCAGGCCAGCCTGGTCTACATAATGAGTTCCAGGCCAGCTGGGGCTACAGGGGGAGACCCTGTCTCAAAAAGACCAAAAAAAAAAAAAAAGAGCAAAGCTGGGCATGGTGGCTCCTGCCCCTGATTTCAGCACTTGGGAGGCTGAGGCAGGAACAGCACAAAGAATAGCCTGACTACATAGCTTCAGGATAGTCTGAGCTACAGAGAGAGACCCTGTCTCAAAATTTCAAAATAGCACCCACCCACCATACTAGCACCTTGCAGTCTCCTCTGAGCAAGGCAGGTTGTTCTAGTCCCGCCCTGGTAACATCCTGCCCCTCTTTCTGGCAGAGCCATACACAGTACGTGAGGCCCGAATCCACGTGCGCCATGTCAGAGACCTCCTCAAGAGCCTGGACCCATCTGATGCCTTCAATGGAGTTGACTGCAACTCCTTGTCTTTCCTGAGTGTCTTTACTGATGGTGACTTAGGAGGTGCGGGAAACATTGGGGCGTGGGCTTGGTCAGAAGGGCAGTGAGTGAAGAGGCCAAGGGCTTGCAGGTCACCCTCATTGGTGGCTGAAGCAGAGGCCAACTAGGGCCACATTGAGTCAGGGAGATAGTTGGCTCCTGACTGACCACCAGCCTTGGGTCCCTCAGACAGCGGGAGGCGGAAGAAAGCCTTGGAGATGGACCCAATCGACTGCACGCCACCAGAGTATATATTGCCAGGGAGCCGGGAGAGGCCACTGTGTCCCCTGCAGCCTCAGAATCGTGACTGGAAGGTAAGATTTCTGGGTGCAGTGTGGAAGTAAGGTCCTGGTGGGGGGACCCCAAGAGACCTGTCTCCTCATACTTGGCCATTTCTGCAGCCTCTGCAGTGTTTGAAAGTGCTTACCATGAGTGGCTGGAACCCACCCCCTGGGAACCGCAAGATGCATGGAGACCTCATGTACCTGTTTGTGATCACCGCTGAGGACCGGCAAGTCAGTATCACTGCATCTACACGGGGCTTCTACTTGAACCAGTAAGTCCCTGTTGGCCGCCCATGTGCTCCTGGCATATCCCCCTGTTCTGGGTCTGAAGACAAACACTTGGCACCTGCTTAGTGACCACTCTCTCTGCAGGTCCACAGCCTACCATTTCAATCCCAAGCCTGCCAGCCCCCGCTTCCTCAGCCATTCCCTAGTGGAGCTGCTCAACCAGATCAGTCCGACCTTCAAAAAAAACTTTGCTGTGCTGCAGAAGAAAAGGTAGCACCTTTGTACCAGTTCTTTCCTGCCCTGTCTCTCGTCATATAGGCTGGAACTTAAACCTGCCAGCCTGAACATCAGCACCTCTGCCTGAAGAAGTGGTGCCCCAGTGTCCACGAGTCCCTGGTTCAAGAGGGCAACAGCCCTCGGAGAGGTGCCCATTTACTTCTCTCTGTCTTCAGGGCAGCATCTCTTGAGTAGGAAATGCTAGGATGGTGGGGGCCTCCTTCGTAGAAGAGGAGCTCACAGCTGAACTCTTGAGCTTGAAAGGGCTATCCCATCTCCCCATTCCCCACCTGCCACAGGGTCCAGCGCCACCCGTTCGAGAGGATTGCCACCCCATTCCAGGTATACAGCTGGACAGCCCCCCAGGCAGAGCATGCCATGGACTGCGTGCGTGCTGAGGACGCCTACACCTCGAGGCTGGGCTATGAGGAGCACATTCCTGGACAGGTGCCACCCAGCCCCTCCCTCCTGGCAGTTCTCCCTGGCCAGGCTGGTTCTGTACACCTTTCAGGAAGCTACCTCTATTCACTAGGGAGTCGGGGCCCTGTTTGTGGGGAAGTGAATGAGAGAATTGTTCAGAGCAGGTCAGGAGACACAGGCTGAGCTGCATCTGCTTCCCTGGCCCCTCTGTAGACCCGGGACTGGAATGAGGAGCTGCAGACAACAAGGGAGCTGCCCCGCAAGAACCTGCCTGAGCGATTGCTTCGAGAGCGAGCCATATTCAAGGTGACCACAGCCCCTTGTGACTGACTGGCAGCTTCAGGCCCACCTGCTAATTGGGCTTGTATGTGGCAGAAAAGTGTCAGTCCTCTGGAGGTAGATCAGGGTACTTGCAGGGTATCTCAATCTCTGCTACCCAGAAGACCAATCAAGATCCTTTCACTTCATTGAGACTTTGAGTCCTTAAGATGGAGAGGGACCCAGTTCTCATTGGATGTGGCAAGGTCCACCCATCCTCCTGTCTTCCAGTGATCATATGTGGCCCTCACCTAGGTACATGCTGCCCCACTGAGCAGGAGCACATTAGTGTAACTTTTTTTTTTTTTTTGGTCTTTTTGAGACAGGGTCTCCTGTAACCCCAGCTGGCCTGAAACTCACTCTGTAGACCAGGCTGGCCTGGAACTCACTATGTAGACCAGGCTGGCCTGGAACTCACCATGTAGACCAGGCTGGCCTGGAACTCACAGAGATCTGCCTGCCTCTGCTGGGATTAAAGGCATGTGTCACCACGCCCAGCATTAGCATCCCATTTAAAAATTTTTATTTTGTTATTTCTTTTTAATGTGTGTGTGTGTGTATGTGTGTGTGCGCGTGCTCTCTTTCCGTCATAGATCCAGAGATTGCACTCAGATCACCAGACTTGGTGGTAGGCACCTTTACCCTGCTGAGCTGTCTCGACAGCCCCAATATTCCCTTTTAATTCCTAAGCTCTGCTTTCTCAGTAGAGGTGTTTAGGATTCGAACAGTTTTTGGAAAATGGTGTTCTTGCCGTTTTCTAAATCAGAGGAAACAAAAGCTAGAGTCCCTTGGCTCCAGGGTTGGCCTGGCTGCTGTCATTACGTGGACCAGGTTGGCTGCGCCTTGATACTCTTGTTCATGAGGCCTGTCTCATTCTCCCAACCTTGGCCTTTCCCAGGTGCACAGTGACTTCACGGCGGCAGCCACAAGGGGCGCCATGGCAGTTATTGATGGCAATGTGATGGCCATCAACCCCAGTGAAGAGACCAAGATGCAGATGTTCATCTGGAACAATATCTTCTTCAGCCTGGGCTTTGATGTCCGTGACCACTACAAAGACTTTGGTGGGGATGTGGCAGCCTATGTGGCACCCACAAATGACCTGAATGGTGTGCGCACATACAATGCTGTGGACGTGGAGGGACTGTACACACTTGGTACAGTGGTAGTGGACTACCGGGGCTACCGTGTTACAGCTCAGTCCATCATCCCTGGCATCCTGGAGAGGGACCAGGAGCAGAGTGTCATCTATGGCTCCATTGACTTTGGCAAGACAGTGGTGTCACACCCACGCTACTTGGAGCTGTTGGAGCGCACCAGCCGGCCTCTCAAGATCCTGCGGCACCGCGTGCTCAATGACCATGATGAGGAGGTGGAGCTCTGCTCCTCGGTGGAGTGCAAGGGCATCATTGGCAATGATGGTCGTCACTACATCCTTGATCTGCTACGTACCTTTCCACCAGACCTCAACTTCCTCCCTGTGCTTGGTGAGGAACTGCCTGAGGAGTGCACACGTGCTGGCTTCCCCCGCACCCACCGACACAAGCTGTGCTGTCTGCGCCAGGAGCTGGTAGATGCCTTTGTGGAGCATAGGTGAGAAGGGGCTACTGTGGGTGTACGCACCTGGCCAGCTGTGTTAGGACCATGGTCTATTCTGAGGAAGATTCTGGAAGGGAGAAGCTCTGGCCTGCTTTCTAGAGCCAGGATGTGGCAGCCTATGTGGCACCCATGATTACCCTCGCCTCCTCCTGTCCCAGGTCTCCAGGTGCAAAAATTCAACACCTTTGTTAGTTGCAGGCTAGCAAGTGGCTAAACCAATGCTCTCAGCAAAGTGGTCCTGGTCTTTTAAGGAGCATTTGAAATCTGATGGGATGGTTTTGACTGGGGCTGGGGCGATGACTCAGTGGATAAGAGCACTTGCTGCTCAAACATGAGAACCTAAATTCACATCCAAAACTCACATAAAAGGCTGTGCATGGTCACATGTGCCTATAACTCTTGTGCTGGGGTAGGGGTCGGGGGTGGAGACAGGCTGGTTACCCGGACTTGCTAGCTGCTAGACAGGGTTCGATGAGATACCCTGTCTTAAGGGAATAAGGCATGGAGTGATAGAGCCAGGACACAGAGTGTCCTCTGGACTCCATGTGCACATGTACCACAAATACACCAGACAATACAAAGACACACAAACTGTCACAGTGCAGTGGCTGGGAAGTGGGGCTTAAGGTGTTGGGTGTTGCTGGCATGGAATGCTTAGGAGTCTGCCCTGCAATGTCTCATGCCATGATGAACTCTTTTCCAAATGTCAGTGCCCTCCTGTTGCTGTCACTGTTGAGAACCCTGGTCTATAGCTCCTCACCTACCCCTATGTACCCCAGCTGTCTTCCCAACTGAGGAGAGCTTCGTGGGGTTTTGTTTAGTTTTAATTTTGAGTCAGGGTCTTGCTGTGTAACATAGACTGGCCCCAAACCAAGATCCTCCTCTCAGCCTCCCCAGTGCTAGGATTATAAATATGCAACACTATACTTTGGTTTTGCTGTGACCTGCTACCTGACAGGGTTGCTAGGCTGGCACACGCATGCATACACTCATACATGCACACTAGGTGGGCTGTGTCCCCATGCCTAGAGGGTGTCCAGTTCCAACATTTCTTAACTCCCAGAGGCCCTGGAACTTAGCTCCGGCTCTTACAGCCAGCCGAGCCACCAAGTCAGGAAAGTTTGCTGCTTTCCCACCTCTGTTTTGTCCTGTGTGTGTCACTCTAGGTACCTGCTCTTCATGAAGCTGGCTGCCTTGCAGCTGATGCAGCAGAAGGCCAGCAAGGTGGAGACCCCCACATTCTTAGAGAATGGTGGTCCCTCTTCAGTGGAGGCCAAGTCTGCAGACCCTCTACGACCTGAGGCAGGAAGTGAGGAGGAGGGTGGTGGTGCTAGTGGACTGGCCAAGGTGAAGGAGCTGGCAGAGACCATCGCCTCAGATGACACCTCGGGTAGGGCTGCTATGCATGTTAGGGAGCGCTAAGCCTGTCCTAGGAGCTTGTCTTAGTTAGGGGTGGCTCATGATCACTGAGAGAGGCATGCAGACATCCCTGCAGCAGTCTGGGAGGCGAAAGGCTCAGGTCAGCACAGCCCCACCTCCCATCTTCTCTGTTTCCACAGTAGACCCTCGGAGCCGAGAAGTGATCCGCAATGCCTGCAAGGCTGTCGGCTCTATCAGCAGCACAGCCTTCGATATTCGCTTCAATCCTGACATCTTCTCACCAGGCAAGTGGGGGTATAATCAGTGAAGAAGCTGTGCAGGCAGGGGCAGATCATCATAGAGTGGACTCGGGACCTTCAGTAGCAGTAGGCTCCCCTAAAGTGGTGTCTATCCTGGTCCTGCTATCCCCTGCTCAGCTCAAGCTGCCTACTCTCCCTCCCCAGGGGTTCGCTTTCCTGAGTCCTGCCAGGACGAAGTTCGGGACCAGAAGCAGCTGCTGAAAGATGCGGCTGCCTTCTTGCTCTCCTGCCAGATCCCTGGCTTGGTGAGGGGAGGGCGTGCTGAAGGGATGGGTGGGGGCTGCCAGGAGGGGCTCTTGCAGTCTGTGGTATCTCCTGTACTTCCCTCTCTGGACCATGTATAGAGTCTTTGCATAGCTGCTGCTTTAGCTCCTCCTAGCCTGTCAGGCCAGCAGGTCCACAAGATCAAGGGAGGCATCAGGCACAGGCTGTACCCTGTTGAGGCTGGGGTTATGGTCCTCTGAGTGCCGTAGAACAGAAGCCTAGGGTTTTCTGTCCAACTCAACCCACTGGCTTCCAGGTTGCCCTGGATCAGGTGCTATGCTCAGATTACTGACATCCAGGGCTGAGGTAAAAGGGAGTAAAGCTGTGGCTCTTTCCCACATGCTCAGATGAGCCTGTGCCACCTGTGGGTCTCAGTTCTTCACTCAGGGCCCAGGCTGTTTCCCTGGGACAGGGTGGCTGTGCTTGTTCCTTTTGCTTGTGTAGAAAGCAGGGAGGAGTTCCCATTCCCTTGTACCACTTTGTTTCCTTCACTCTTTCTGTCTGGGAGCCAGCCCCTTTCCCTTAGAGCCCCAGGGAAGACCCAGAGGTGTAGGGCAGAGGGCTGGGGCTGGCTTTGACCTGATGCAGCTCCACAGGTAAAGGATTGCACAGAGCACGCTGTACTGCCCATGGATGGGGCTACGCTGGCAGAGGTGATGCGCCAACGTGGCATCAACATGCGCTACCTGGGCAAGGTGCTGGACCTGGTGCTGAGGAGTCCAGCCCGCAACCAGCTAGACCACATTTATGTAAGTAGGTCTTGGGCTGGGAGATGGTGGCTTGCTTGAGATGCAGGCCTGGGGCTGACCAAGATTTCCTTTGAATCCTCAGAAAATTGGCATCGTAGAGCTCATCACACGCTCTGCCAAGCACATCTTCAAGACATATTTACAGGTGCAACCCTCCCCCACCTTGGCTTTGTGGGACCTCCTTGGTTGGCGTGGGGCCTGGCAAAGACCCTGGGTGGGGGCTCAGCACCCTCCTGACTTGAGTCAAAACTTCACTGTCAGGGAGTGGAGCTCTCAGGCCTCTCAGCTGCCATCAGTCACTTCCTGAACTGTTTCCTGAGCTCCTACCCTAATCCTGTGGCCCACCTGCCAGCTGATGAGCTACTCTCCAAGAAAAGGAACAGGAGGAGGAAAAATCGGCCTCCAGGGGCTGCAGACAACACTGCCTGGGCCGTCATGACCCCTCAAGAGCTCTGGAAGAACATCTGCCAGGAGGCCAAGAACTACTTTGACTTCACCCTCGAGTGGTGCGGGCACAAGGGGCATGGGATACCATAGGTGTGGGGTGCCAGGGGTAGTGGGTGCCAGGTGAAGCAGTACGCTGGGCTCCCAGGTAGCATCTAGGGCCTGCAGTCGCAGGGCAGTCGAGTGAGGTCAGTAGGAGTACTGGCATAGCTGTGTAGGACCACTGGCATGGGGAAGCAGGGCTGGGAGTGTTAGCTTTGAGCCCTAGAAGTTAGGCAGCCATCCAGAGGAGCAGTGGGTACAGGGCTGCTCAGGGCCCCCACTCCTACCCCTAGTGATTCTGTGGACCAGGCTGTGGAGACCTACGGGCTGCAGAAGATAACGCTGCTGCGGGAGATCTCCCTGAAAACTGGGATCCAGGTGGGCCCTCCTTCCCGGCTAGGGTCACAGGGCTGAGGGACGATGGCTTTCTTGGGGCGGCAGTCTATGGGCACCAAGCTGGTAGGTTGGGAGGTGCTGTCCTGTGTACAAGGTTGAGGCTGTGGGTGTTGGGCCTTGTCCGCAGATTCTCTTGAAGGAGTACAGCTTTGACAGCCGCCATAAGCCAGCCTTCACTGAGGAAGACGTGCTCAACATCTTCCCCGTGGTCAAGCATGTCAATCCTAAGGCCTCAGATGCCTTCCACTTCTTCCAGAGTGGGCAGGCCAAAGTACAGCAGGGTGCGTGGTGCTGTGGGCTGGTGGAGATGGGGCTTTCTCTTGCTCAGCCCTGACCTTGCTGTGGCTGATCTGCAGGCTTCTTGAAGGAAGGCTGTGAGCTCATCAATGAGGCCCTGAACCTGTTCAATAACGTGTACGGAGCGATGCACGTGGAGATCTGTGCCTGCTTGCGCCTACTAGCTCGCCTCCACTACATCATGGGCGACTATGCTGAGGTGCGTGGACTGTGGCACCCCTGGCTGTGGCCTGTCATTGGGGGCTGCATGAAGAGTCTGAGGATGCATTGTCATCCTCCTGTATTAACATATGGGTCCAGGCATGTGGAACTTGACCCCATTTTGGAGCAGGGAGGATGCTGCTCCCCTGGGCTTTCGGGTGGAGAGCAAGTGTGGAGTCCTGGGAGCCCCAAAATTGCTTCTTGTTTGAGCTGTGCCACCTCTCAACTCACTGTCCTTGGGGGAGCTCCGCAGCTGCCTGTGTTCTGATAAGGTGGATGTGACACAGGATCTGACTTCTCAGGGACATGGCAAGGGTAAATCCTGGGACCCTATGAGAACCATGGCACATGCGTAGCCTTCACAGGCCCTGTGGAGAAGGCCAGCAGAGAGTTTCTATTGTTTTTATAAACATTCTGTGTGCATATTCTGGCTGCCTTGTCGACCCCTAGGCTTTAAGAGTTTGTTTCTGGGGTTGGTATGCTTTAAGCCTCCTCTCTCAGTCAGAGGCTAAGTAAGAGCTTTTTAAATATTAATGTACTTTTAGTGCAGTCTATATGTGTTTGCATAGGTTTTGTTAGGGGAAGAAGACTTAAAACGATAGCGTTTTAGATGGTTTCAGTGCAGCATAAACCTCCATGGTCACAGCAGCTGGCTACCACCCCCTCTCTGCTGCCTTGGTGCGGAGAAAGGATGGATAGTGAAGGCCACACCAGGCTGTGTTGGGATTGCTCTGCCTTTGGCTGAGGGACAGTGTCCACCTGAGATTGATACCATCTCTTTCCAGGCCCTGAGCAACCAGCAGAAAGCTGTGCTGATGAGTGAGCGGGTGATGGGCATCGAGCACCCCAACACCATCCAGGAATACGTGAGTAGCCACCCTGGGATCAGTGCACAGGGTTGGGGCCTTCTGTTGCTCTGACCCACCATGGCCCCATCCACAGATGCACCTGGCCCTGTACTGCTTCGCCAGCAGCCAGCTGTCTACAGCCCTGAGTCTGCTGTACCGTGCTCGCTACCTCATGCTGCTTGTGTTTGGGGAAGATCACCCTGAGATGGCGCTGTTGGATGTGAGTGTCTAGGAGGCAGTGTAAAGCAAGGTGGGAATGAACACCAGCCTTCAGCTGAAGGGATGGGGGAAGCTGACCAGGTCCCCTCCCACTCTCCAGAACAACATCGGGTTGGTGCTGCATGGTGTGATGGAGTATGACTTGTCACTACGTTTCCTGGAGAATGCACTGGCCGTCAGCACCAAGTACCATGGGCCCAAGGCTCTTAAGGTGGCCCTCAGGTGAGGCTGTACTGGTCAAGACCCCCAGCAAAAATTTGGGTGGGTCAGGGGGTAGACCCAGTTCTGTCCTCGCTAATTTTTGCAGAAGTTTTCTGAAGCTCTACCTCACCTTGTGCACATGCCTTGTGTGGTCCCCTCAGGAGGTCTAGGGAGGAATCTAGAGCAGACTCCCTAGTCCTCAGAAGGCCTTTATCTCATGCACCTCCTTTGCTTCATGTACTGTGCTTTTTAACAGTCACCACCTTGTTGCCCGGGTCTATGAGAGCAAAGCTGAATTCCGGTCAGCCCTCCAGCACGAGAAGGAAGGCTACACCATTTATAAGACCCAGGTGGGCTTTGGTAGGAGTGGGGAGCTATGCCTGTTAGGCTGTGAGCAGCCCTGATCCCCTCTTGCTTTGGCCCCTACCCTCTCTAGCTGGGTGAGGACCACGAGAAGACCAAGGAGAGCTCTGAGTACCTCAAGTGCCTGACCCAGCAGGCTGTCGCCCTGCAGCGCACCATGAATGAGATCTACCGCAATGGTTCCAGCGCCAACATCCCACCCCTCAAGGTATGGCCCTGTGCTGAGTGAGTAGGCCTCGTGCCCTGGGCTCTTGGCAGGTCTCACTCACTGCTGGCTTTCCCCACTGCCCTTCAGTTCACAGCCCCCAGCATGGCCAGTGTCCTGGAGCAGCTCAATGTCATCAATGGCATCCTCTTCATTCCTCTCAGGTGAGGCCCTCCCTCTGCCACCCTCCCCACAATCTGGAAATCGCCCATAGGTTTTGTTTAAGTCATATTGACAAAGCTCGAACTTAAAAAGTGTAGACATGTAGACAGCAGTAAGAGGTCCCTTGCCTGTCATTCCTCCCAGACATTGCATAATGCTGCAAATGTATAACTAGAGTTCTCGGGGCTGGAGAGATGGCTCAGTGGTTAAGAGCACTGACTGCTTTTGCAGAGGACCTGGGTTCGATTCCCAGCACCCACATGGCAGCTACAAACCATCCTTAACTCCAGTTCCAAGGGAATCAAATGCCCTCTTTTGACCTCCACGGCACTACACGGGTGCACTCACATACATGCAGGAATACACTCACACACATTAAAGAAAAACAAAAAAAAACCCTAAAATGTATTAAAAAAAAAAAAGAAAAAAACTAGAGCCAGGTGTGGTGGCACACACCTTTAATCCCAGCACTCTGGCGGCAGAGGCAGGAGGATCTCTGTGAGTTCAAGGCCAGCATGGTCTACATAGTGAGTTCCTGGACAGCCAAGGCTATAGGGAGACCCTGTCTCAAAGACCAAAAAGAAAAACCAGCTAGAGTTCTCCTCCATTTGCCTTTTTTGAGACAATTAAACCCTGTAGCCCAGGCTACGTAACCTGGGCTATCCTAGAACTCATGGCAATCTTCCTGCTTCAGCCTCCTGAGTGTTGGGATTACAGGTGTGAGCCACCATGTTTGGCTTTATTTTCTTTCTTCCCAGGTAGAGTCTTTCTACCCAGGCTGGCTTCAAACTCATAACCCTTCTTCATAACTCTCATAACCCTCAGCTTGCTCAGTGTTGGAATTACAGTTGTATACCACAACACCTAGTTTCCTTTTAATGTTTTAGCACACTAGAACTTTTTGTTGCTGTTATTTTGAGATAGGATCTCATGTAGCCCAGGTTGGCCTCATTTGCTATGTAGCTGTGAGAATGGTCTTGAGCTCCTGTTCCTCCTGCCTTTACCTCCCAAGTGCTGAGATTCCAGGCATGTGGTACCATGCTTGGTGACTCTGGTGGTCTTTCATATCCAATACATACAGAATGACTCCATTCTCCCTCTAGTCATCTGCTCTTGCAGTGCATGGATGTGCCCTGTAAGCCAGCCTTTGAAAACTCCCCCATGGCTCTGGCAAATAGTGCTGCTTTGGGAACTCCTCCCTCCCTGAGTCCCTCCTGGATATGGGAGGTGGCGTTGGTGGGCCAGCAGTGGGAAGCTTCCTGCATGTGGTCTGTTGTAGGAAAGGACAAGTTGCAGATTTGAACTGGGTGGGAGGGTGAGTAGGAGTCATGCCTTAGCCGAATGCTCTGTTAAGAGCAGGGAACTTTCTGCCTTGGGAGGTACTGCCTGTTCCGCATGAAGCAAAGAGCTCAGTCAGGTCCCAAGTGTGAGTGTAAATCAATGCAAGCAGGGTGGCAGAGGGGCCCAGGCTGCTCTGACTCTACCCCCATCTTTCCACTCAGCCAAAAAGACTTGGAAAACCTGAAGGCCGAGGTGGCGCGGCGACACCAGCTCCAAGAGGCCAGCAGAAACAGGGATAAGGCCGAGGAGCCAGTGATCATGGCTACTGAGCCTGAGCCAGTGGGGGCCCCAGAGGATGTAGGCTCTCAGCCCCAGGCTGCCAAGGAGGACCCTTCTTCCTCGAGCTTGCAGGGATAGAAAAGGAGAGACAGTCAGCAGCCCCGTTACCCAACCATCCAGACTCCAGGAGACGGGGGCATTCCCAGCAGATTGGGAGAGGAAGTCAGCCTCTCCTCTTCCATGTTCCACCCCCACCCCACCCCAGCATTGGCCTGGGACCCTGGCCTGGCCTGCCTGCCCCCCAAAAGATGTTTTTGCACTGGTTCAATGAATATACGATGGAGAGACCCAATTGAAGACATGTGAACGGAGCGTGAGCATCAGCTCCAGCTGGGGGTCAGGTGCCCCTCAGGCCCCCTGTCCTCAAGCAGGTGTGTGTGAGTGCGTCCATGCCTGAGTGTCCTGCTCTGTCCTTCCTAAACTGTACATAGCCCCAGTCAGTTCTGAGTGGATGACGTGTAGATGCGATTTCTCAGGTCATTTGTATGTTTGACATTTTGGCTGCTGCTTTTGCTGCCACTACCCCTGGGCCCAGCCTGGCTTCAAGTCCAGGTTTAAGCCAAAAAAGATGGGGGGCTTTCCTGTGTCCTAGGAGGGGGAGCTAGAGCTCTGGCAGGCCTGGACAGTTGGGGTGCACTTTAAGTTTTGTGGCAAGATGAGAGCTGCAGTAGCGTTTCTGTGATTGGGCCTATAGCTCCAGGATGAGGGAAGCAGCCAGCAGTGGTGGACCCCCAGACATCCATGTGCCTGACCTTGCCCGTCCTTGGCCAAGCAGGGGAGGTGGCACTGCCACAGACTTTGACTTACCTCCCTGCTCCCTGTACCCCAAGTGGGCATAACCTTGGGGGCCAACAGTCTGAATGTATCTCTGCATTTTAACCTGAGCTGCCTAATGCACAGTGGGAGGTGGTTGGGTGAAGGGCTGGGGATCCAGGGCTCACCGGATCCCAGGGAAAGCGCCATGCACAGAGGAGTGATTGTTACCTCTGTGGAGCCAGGCTCCCTACTTGGTTCTTGCTACACAAGCACCTTCCATGAAGATCTCTGGGGTGGTGGGACCCCCACTTCCCTGGCTGCTCCCTCTCCCTGCCTGCCTGCATTGCTTCTCTGTGTCTGCTGTTCCTGGAGAAGAGGGCCACCCTGTAAACCTGAGGGAGCTGTTCCTGGTAGGGCCTCTGCTTGGGGCTTTGCTGGAGCTGCTAATGGAGTCTGTCCAGGCACCTTGTTTCAAAGGGAATGGGCATGAGCTAGGAAGCAAGGCATCCCCACAGCTATCAAGAAATTTTTCTTGTTTTTAAACCATCATGTCTTCATTTCACATTGGAATAAAGTGAGTTTTTGAAACCTGCTGCCCTAGACTCTCTTGTGCCCTCTGTGACCCTCAGAAATACTGCTGGAAGATAACTTATGTATGTATACATTAGGTCACATTCAAGGTAATGTGTATCAGGTTACTGAAGTGGGAGGAATGGGGGTGGAATGCTATCCAGTCAGCTTGATCTTCCTGTGAGCACTGTCACACAGTTGACAAGGCCATATGGGATAGGTGGGTTGTGGGCATGCAGGACTTGTTTTCTGAACATCTAACTGGCTGGGCATGTGCCTCTAACCTTTTCTTGCAGATTGGGCAGCACTCCTCAACACAACAAAGTTTGCATAGTGTGAGTTTTAAGAGTCAGCTGGTGCAGGGCTAATGAAGTGGAGGCCAACTAGGTGGACTTGAGGGGGGACAACCTGCCATAGCGTGGAAGGCACATGAGTACATGGTGGCTGCAGAGCAGGCAGGTCCTGGGCCTGTGCATCTTGCTACATGTTTCTGGTTTTGAAACACTGGAATCTCAAATCCTTGAATGCCTTTTGTGTCTTGGACTTTGTAGACTTCCATCTTAAGGTGTGGTACTCTTCTAAGTCAATGGGATACTAAGTGACATCCATGGGTGGGAGTCAGTGCCTTCACTGTTTAAGCCCAGTGTGTTCCCTATTGTGCTTTATAACCTCATGGTTGTATCTGATAGTTTGTGACGCGGTTTCTTGTAGCAGATGACCTTGAATTCCTAATCATTCAGCCTTCACCTTCCAAGTGTTGGATTTACAGGCATGTACCAGAATGCCTGGCTTGTTTTTTCTTAAACAAGCTTTTCTCTGGTTCTCATCCACAGTATCAGCACCTCACTTTGGGAAAGAGGGAGACTGCAAAGCTGAGACTGGCGTGGGTTTACCATTGTGCTCTCTAGTCATCTGAATGACCCTTTTTTTGTTGTTGTTGATCCCTTAAGCATATTACTGTTATTTTAAAAATTTTTGCATTTGTGTTTTGCCTGCATGTATGTATATATGCCAGAAGAGGGTGTCAGATCCCTTGGAACTGGAATGATGGACAGCTGAGTCACCACGTGGGTACTGGGAATCAAACCCAGGTCCTCTGCAAGGGCAGCCAGTAGTACTCTTAACAGCTGAGCCATTTCTCCAGCCTAAGATCATTTTAAAAAATTGTGTTCTGTATGATAACACGTGTTAAGAGCACATACAATTTAGGACAACTTTTAGGAGTCAATTCTCCCCTTCTACCATGGGTTTCTGAGAAGGAACTCTGGTTTTCAGGCTATTATTGAGAACTACCTGACTTAACTGAGGAATCCTGTATCCTGTGGCTGAGAATTAAATATCCTGAAGTACAGAATATTTCTATGTCCTGGATCAAAATGACCAAATCAAAGCAAGTGGTCATCCTCAAGTAATAGATGTGACCATTTTACCAATACTAATGGCACCAGAAAGCTGGGTGTGGTGGTACATGTTGAGGCTGGACTATCATCTGGAATTCCAGGACAGCATGTACTAGAGACTACCCTGTTTCAAAAAAGCCCAAACCACCACCACCAGGAGTGCTATCCTCTTCACAATACGAACCATGCATTTCAAGGCCCAGCTCACCTTCATTAGCTATAGTGACAGTGGCATGGGAACCTGCCTTATGTAAACTTTGATTTTTCCTGCCCATGAAATGCACTAGTACCCACCAGCAGACGATGTGTGAAAACAGGGTGTGCTTATCAAGTACTGGTGCCTAAGAGGCATTTAAAATGCCAACTATCTTGCCAGAGATGGCTCGGTAGATTCAAGTGCTTACTGCTAAAACTGACTTCAATTCCCTGGGATCCTCTTCTCCCCCACGCTGTGTAATTAAAAATTTTAAAGATGTATCAGCTATCTTCTGTAGCTGTATTCACTGAGAGGCCTAAATGACCACATGGGGATAACACAACCATAAAGGCACAGTGGATTTGACGCCCAGGTCTATTAAAAAAAAAAAAAAAAAAGTATTGGTATTGAAGATCTGAATTCAGGCCAGGCATGGTGGCACACTCCTTTAATCCCAGCATTCAGGTGTCAAGAGGCAGAATCACTGGAGTTTGAGGTCAGTCTAGATTTCTAGGCCAGCATAGCGAGACCCTGTCTTTAAAATAAAAATTTGGGGGCTGGAGAGATGGCCCAGTGGTTAAGAGCACCGTTCTTGCAGAAGACTCGGGTTCGATTCCCAGCACCCACATGGTGGCTAACAACCGTCTGTAACTCCAGTTCCAGGGGATCCAACACCTCCTTCTGACCTCTAGGTATTGCACAACACAGGTGCATTTACATACATGCAGCAATACACTCATACATGTAAAATATATTAAAGAAAAAAATCTGAATTCAAACTCCAGCTGTAGGACTCTGGACTTTTGCCCAAATTTTTTCAGTAAGAAATTGAATCATTTTTTTTTTTTTATCAGTGGTTCTCAAAATTGAGCCTGCCATCAGGAAAATCTGGAGGACATGCAAAAAAAGCTAGTATGTCTGGGAAGGGCATCTAGAACTTGCATTTCTAATTAAGTCCCAAGGTAGTGATGCCCCACATTGTTTTTACCAGACTAACCAGAGGACGCTGCAACATCCAGGATGTGCTATTTCCCCCTCATCTCTTCAGTGGGGTTAATGTATGAGTGCCAATACTGGCTTTGAAGTCCAACATAACTGTATTTCAGGACTGTGACATTAAAGCTAGAACTTACCCAAAAGGAAAGTAGGCTCTTATTGAAAAGGAGCCCCGTAAGGACTAGGAAAGCTGAGAACGCAGGACATTCTGGGCTGGGTTTCCCTTCCAGTGGGAAAGCTATTCCTAGTAGGAGGCAGGAAAACATCAGGGCTGTAGGAAAAGAGTCACCACATCATTTAACATCTGTACTTCTGTACATGACAAAGATGGCTGGGGACAGTGAGCAGTCAGGGTGAGGCAGGACACAGCTAAAACTGGTGAGCACAAAAAGCTTTTGGGCATCTGGGACAAGGATGAAAGAATACTTATTTTTGTATATTTCAAAAACCTGAAAACATTAAGGACATTTATAGGTCCAAGGTAAGAGGCTAGATAAGCAGCTCACTTGTTAAGGGAACAATGGATGGCCCCATCTCTAGGGCTGAATCTTTGTAGAGCATCTCTGACAAACCATTCCTGTTCAGTTAGTAGTGATGGTCAGACTGCACAGCTGGAGGGGAAAGCTGCTCAAAGTTCTGTGCAAGCCTATGGCCACAAAAGCCCCGTGCTGTGCTGCTTCTCCAAACAGGGAAGACAGCACCACATCCTGTGCCAACACAGCTGTGTAAAGTCGCTCATCAAAATTCTAATGCCCTGTGCCAACTCAAGCCTTGCTCTGTGACCTATCTAAGCACAGTGCCCCCGCCTGCCCTCCCCCCCAAAAAAAATCACTTCTAGTTTTATAGGCATTTAATAGTTTACCAATTGGTACAATAAGATTTTTTTAATATGCAGAAAACATGAATAAATTTTGTTTTACACAGTCTTGAGAGCAACAAATCTTACTGTAAAACACAAGAGCAATATTATATACATTCCTTTACTGATTTTTTTTTTTAAATTGTGTCAATATCTTCAGTGAACTCTTAAAATCTGGGGAACTGTTTTCTCCAATTACCACCTCTGTTCATACGAAATCAATGCTCGCCTTCATGTCAGTGTCAGGATCAACTTTTAACTCCAAGATTTTGTGTTTATTTCTAACATCTTCAGAGTGAGCTTTAGGGATGCCTGAAGGATAGGCAGGACAAGAAAGCAGCTGCTTACATGATATTGTGGAAAGATAAAAAGGCCAGTTCCAGTTGTGACTTGTAAATCCAGCTTACCCCCACCCCCACCCCACTGGAAAAAAAACCTAAAGCCTTTTCTTCGAATTTGTCCATGTTGCTTCTCTACCAAGAGATTCTTCTTTGCATCATCTAGATTAATCAACACATTGGATTTATATACAGCTGGACAGAAAGAATAACCATTTTAAGTGCCTTTTCCTTCCATTTTCAACTTCAGTTGCTTATCAAGCCACCACTGTCAACAAACAAAAATGTCCTTAATTTTAAAGTTTTTCTTTAACTTAAAAAAAAAAAAAACATTTAGTGATATCTGAAAGTTCACACAGAAACAGAAAGAGGCCAACAGGAGAGCAGGGCACTGACAGTAAAGAGACTGGGCTTGGTGAATCTAGAGCCAAAGCTTCCAAAGGACTACAGTGCTTGCTCCACAGCCTGGGACGACTTGCTAACACTAGTGATTCTGGATAGTGCTCTAGGCACACCATTGGTCACACCACATGCACACAAAACAGGAACGGTCTTAAGTCTCCTAAAGTGCAAGATGCCATGTTAAAAGCAACTATTCTCCAAGCCATGTCTATACCACAGTTTCCGTGGCATGCACTCTCCAGAGCGCAGGCAGGACTTCTTGGGCACTGGAATGTCTGTTTACATACACACACACGCACACACACACAAAGTCAATAATCATCTGAGAATGCAATTCTACCAGCTTTTTATTTCTTAATAAGTGGCCAATCTGATTTGAGAAAGTGACAAAGCAGCAGTGAACCTCTAACCAATTCATACAGTCCTCTACTTATAACCCAAACCAGGAACCTCATCATTGTCCTTATCCCAGGCAAGGCACAGGGTTAGACAGCAGACAGAGAAAACAGAGCACAGAGTAAGAAAGGGCATCAACAGGGCAGTGTCAAACAACAGCGCAGGAAACCTTTGCAAACTTGATGCCAGATGTGGCTGGATTGCTCTCCCCCACTCCCTTTCACTATTCAAACAGGGCTCGTTACATTTGGATCCAGTTGTGGACCATCCCTGAGATTCAATGTTTGCTGCTTCTTAAGTGGAGGATGTCTGGTAACTCAACTAAGCAGCAGGCTGTGGCAATCTCCCAAGTAAGGATAGCTTTGTTGACAGATAACTGTTCCTCCTCCTTTGTCAGTGACTATGTGCTGCAGGGGAAGACACTAGGAACAGCAGCTTTGTTCCTCTACATTGGTACCACTTTTTCATTACTGTTTGTTTCTGTGGATTTTTAGATGTTGTGGCTTACCCTTAAACAATTCATGTACTACATGCTAAAACTGAATTAAAATACAAGACATTTAAACATGTACAAATAAATGTTAAGATGCACCATTTCTATGTATTTATATTTCTTGAAATAGGATAGGAAATAGCAGCAAATGAGAACACAGACATTTTCCATAACTTTGGAGAAAAATCCAGTCAGAATGGGGGGGTAGAAAGAGACACGACTTCTCAATGTAAGCAGGGCTGTGAGGAAATATATTGTTCTGAAAGCTAACCTACAGTGTATATGGAATCAAGATGTAACTGTCCTCAAAAATAGCCATTTAGTTCTCAAAACACTTTCCTTTCCAGAGACATCTCTTTAAGAATATTAAAAACAAGTAAACAACCAAAAGGACACAAGCTAGACATAAAGCTGCTTCTAGTTAATACATGGCCTAATCTCTATGTGTGTATCTACGGGACATTAACTCTTACCCTCTGTCCTTTTCAAGAATCAATTTTCCATTAAATACTAAAAGGGACACTTAAAAATTATATATTACACAAATGAATAAAATGCAGTTCAGAAAAAAATTATCTTTGTTAAACTGTCATTGTTATTACATTGTCTCTGTTAACTTTTCAAATGACTTTCTTTAAAAAATGTTAGCTAAGCAATGGAATTCTTTATTAACAACTGACAATGGAGTAGTGTTTTTAAAGTCATGGATAAAATTCTTTTACACCTACTGTAGTAACTTTGGATCAAAATATACAACATATCAGGGACGCATAAAATGCTGAAAGGCCACATTAGAGGGGGAAATAGAGGAAGTGACTTTCCTTTAGCTAAGAAAAGCCCCCTTCAGAGTGAGACCTAGTTTTCAGAAACATTAGCATGAAAGGGGTTTGTTCTAAAGCATGGCTGTGGTATTCCACAGTAAGATTTACTCTTCTAGTATGTTTTAGCACTTCTTCAAAAACCCAAGACCCAACAACATGGAGGCTTTATGTGTGCGATATACATATACAGACTTATCCACTTATAGATAGGTCCATATAAACATTTATATATAAACAAAAGATGAAAAAAAAACCCAGTACATTTCTATGCACCTCCAATAAACCCTGTCATTTTCTAACCTGTAAGTCAAACAGTTCAAATTGTTATCAGATTCATGTTGAAAAACTGCTATATTTCTTCCACTCCTGTAAAATGGGCAAACATAACCTTTTCAGTATTTCTGTCCTTATGAAATGCACATTGCACATCCCTAGAAACATCATAAACAAATAGTGATTTGTACCATGACACTCAATGGAAAGATTAATCTACTTGGAAGTCACGTCACTATACAATCTAACAGTATGGAGAATACAACTTGAAATCTGTCTAGTGTGGAAAATAGAAGCTTAGAGTATGACAGTGTTTTCAGAACTGTTTACAAAGCATTAAGACCCAAATGGAAAAAAAGGAGAAAAAAAAAAAAAAAAAAGGATTCACTATTAGCTGCTGAGATTTTTCTTGAGATTTATAATCATTTTCTTACATAAATATACCACTAGCCTTTGCTTGATAGGCTGCCAAAACAAACATATCCTATTGATTTGGCAAAAGGGTCAAGACAAAAATTTCAATGTGTAATCCCCATTAATTACATAGATGGATCAAAAGATTTTGAATTGCAGTCTTATTATCTAACATCCTTTAAGATTTATTAAGCACACTTAAGTGATGTTACATAGATACACATTTCAGAAAAAGCCCTAATAACCACCATTTTCCCCAAAATGAGGCCATCAAGTCAGGCACCAACAGATAGCAGGAAGAAAAACAATAATTAATAATCCAACATAAAACGACACTGTCAACTATTCAGTTCAGTGCCCCTAACTCAATTTATTCAACTTCCGCCCTTGTAGGCCTGGTGTGACCAATGCCAGCCCAGGTTTTTAAACCCTATGGTAATTCTAGACAACGTATGTAAATTTACAGTATACAATTTGGATTCACCATGCATGAATACTTTGTGTGTAACATTTAATAAGCTCAATCTACATCCAGAATAATTTACATGAAAGGACAATATTTATTTAAACAGAGCTCAATGGGGTAACCATGGTATCATCAGAGTGCATCCAGAGGAGTAAAGGGAGGAAGGACCCAATGAGACTTGATCAACGGCACTCCCACACCTTTACTGTTTGATCTACACTGCCAGTAACCACATAGGGTGCCGTCTTGTGGAAATCTGAAAGAAAAAGGAAAAGGCTTATTGTTTTCAAATCAGACACAGTCAGGTTTAAAATTTGTTGTTGTTTGATTTTTGAGACAGGCTTTTCTATGCAGTCCCAGGTAGGTCTTGAACTTGAGATCCTCCTGTCATGGCTTCTCAAGTACTGAGGTTGTTAAGCATGTGCCTGCACAACTGGCTCCAATATCCACTATTTTTCTATATATACATGCTTGCACCCCAAGAAATGAAGATTGCCAACTGGTTAGGGAAGCTGAGACTCAACTATTAAATCCCACTTGATTTAAGCCCCATCCCAAATGATATGCAAAAATCTACTAACAAGTAGTCTCAGCATATCCATTTATTGAACACTGTACCAGGCTTAATCCTAATGTTTTATGTGGACATTTAATTCCTGAAATATTCATGTAGTCAACAGCTTCATTTTACAAAGGCTTATCTTCAACATTAGGTCCATCCATCCTACCCTAGTGTATTACAATTTATTGAATTCACTATTATAAACTCCAAATGATACTGAAAATATTTGTTAAGCTTCCCCTGAGTTCCTAGTACACAGTAGCATATACCTACCAGAAGGAACTATTTGTTGCTGTTTTGCTTTTCTGCTTTTGACAATGTAGTCCTACTGTACAGTACAGACCATACTATATAGACCAGGTTAGTCTCAAACTTGGGGAGATCTTCCTGCCTGTTTCATACATGCTGGGATGTGCTATGGTGTCCATTCACTGTGTGTGTTTCTATGTGTATGTGGGCACACACATGCACATGGAAATATACAGACCAGAGTCAGTTCTCTCCTCTCACCCCACTGTGTAATGCAGGGATTGAACTCGGGTTGCCAGGCCTGCTTGAAAGCCCCTCTACCTGTATCTCAGCAGCCTTGCTTGTTTTTTTCTTGAAATAGGGTCTTGCTACGTAGCCCAGGCTATTAAGATTTCTTTCATTCTTCTGCAGTACTGGGGATTGAAACTAGGGTCTCAGGCATGCTGTATTAAGAGCTCTACCACTGAGTTACATCCCCAGCTCTAAGATTTCTTTTGAAAAATATATAAAGTAGTAGGAAAGAGAAACTATCAGTCAAAGTGATCGTATCCTTTCATAATTCCAGTTCCCAAAAACTAATGTATGATGAAGAAAGTAATATTTTTAAAAAATATTTTATTATTTTTATTTTATGTGTACAAGTGTATTGCCTGCATGTATGTGAGTGCATCCGTGTCGTGCAATGCCGCGGAGGTCAGAAGAGGGCGTCAGATTCCCCTGGAACTGGAGTTAAGGATGGTCCGAAGCTGCCATGTGGGTGCTGGGAATCAAACCTGGGTCCTCTGCAAGAGCAGTCAGTGCTCTTAACCACTGAGCCATCTCTCCAGCCCCCAAAAGTAATGTTTTTATTATAAGGTTAATTATGTAAAGAAATTTAAAGCCACTGGTATGAAACCACAAGGTTTGAACATGCCTTCTCTATTCTTCCCTTAAAGAACATGGTCATCTCTTACCTGAAAAAGTCCACACAGTTACACAAAACTGTTACACCTGGCACTCCAAAATTCAAATGTTCAGAAACCTCACAATGTGTACATACCCAAGGAGGTAACAAAGTGTTCATGCGCATTAAGGGTCTTCATGCATCGCTTGTTCTTGTAATCCCATACACGTAGAGTCTTGTCATCAGCGCAACTCAAAATAAACTTCCCCCCAGAATGGAACAGAACTCCACGTACCCAATTATCATGACCCACCTTAAAGACAAAAAGGTATGTGACATAATAAAAGGATACATTATTTAAGTAACACTTTTGAAATATGTTTTAATATTGAAACCATAGATACCAATGTCCTTTTTTTCCCCAGAAGTGGGGGGAGGTAGGCAGGACCTCATGTAGCCCCAGGCTGGCTTAAACTCCTGATTCTCCTATTCCCACCTCCTGAGTGCTGACATTACAGGTATACAACCACCATGCCTAGCTATGAATCAATAAAATCTTTTTTATTTTTCTCTTTTGGTCTTTTCAAGACAGGGTCTCCATGTAGCCTCAGCTGGCCAGAACTTGCTATGTAGACCAGGTGGGCCTTGAACTCAGAGATTCGCCTGCCTCTGCCTCTCAAGTGCTGGGACTAAAGGCATGTGCCACCATGCCTGGCCAATAAAATTCTTTATGTTGGAAACACTGGTGTACATTACAACAATTTTTAAAAAAACATTTTTATTTTATGTGTATAAGTGTATGCCTGTATGTAGGTAAGTGCACCTGTGTTGTGCAGTGCCTGTGAAGGTCAGTAGAAGGCATTGGATCCCCTGGAACTGGAGTTATAGGCAGTTGTTAGCAGCCATGTGGGTGCTGGGAACTGAACCTGGGTCCTCTACAAGAGCAGCCAATGCTCTTAATTGCTGAGCCATCTCTCCAGCCCCTACAACAAATCTTTAAAAGATAGCTGAATGCATCTAGCATCATTAAGTTAACCAACAGGGACAGCATAAATTGGTATGACAAATTTAGGGGCTTGAGATACAACTCAGTAGTAGAGTATATCCTCAGCATACACAGTACCCCAGGTTCAATCACTAACAAAAAGTTATTAAGAGTATGAAATATTGTATTTTTTGTTAGAGTGCGAAGGATCAAACTCAGGTCTTCACATATGATAGCTAAGCTACATATAACCCCAGTCTAAGAGCTGGTGTCTTAAAAAGTCAGCACACAAAAACATGAAAAAACCCAATGTAAAATAATGGGGCAGGGAATGCTTATCTCACATGCATGAAGCCCTGGATTCCATTCCCATAAACTGGGCATGGTGGCCAATACCAGTAATCTAAACACTTGGAGGCAGAGGCAGAGGACAGTTCAAGGTCATCCTCAATTACACAGCGAGTTTGATGTCAGAGTGGTGGACTTTTTTTTCCCCTGTCTTTCTCTTTCCCCTGTAACGCCAGGTGACCTGAACTCACATCTTAATAAATAAAAGGTACTCTATGCTTGGAGCCCTTCCCAACTCGAGTTCTTTCTCACTCTCTCTTAACAGATCTATTATCTGCAAAGTGTGTGTGGATCCTTGACTGGATCCCAGATTTATATTAATAAGCTATAAAGGGCATTATAGAAATAAATGAAGATAATCTGAATGTGTAGCCTTATCAATGTTAAATTTCTTGAGTGAGACTAATTTTATTGTGGTGATACACCTTTGTTCTAAGGAGATACAAGCTAAAATATGTCTAGAAGGAACTATCAAATGGTTCAGCAAAATAAAATGTAAACATATCCATACAACAATGATCAAATGTGGAGGCCAGGTGACAGGTATATGACATTCATTATGTATCTATCCATCTATTAATCCCCTACACCAGCAATTCCATCTCTTAAAACTTACCCTAAGAAGTAAGTGTATGCCTAGAGATTATTAACAAACATCTTCATTAAGACACTGTGAAATCAGTTTGCTACAGAGCAATATGGTATAGTATACCATTTTAACAAAATACACTCTATTTACCCTATTATGAAAAAAGAAAGTTTAGAATTGCATGGTCCAACAGGGTAATCATTAGCTATATATATATATGTGTGTGTGTATGTGTGTGTGTTTAAATATAAACTAGTTAAAATTAAACCTAGAAATTTAAAAGCTGGGCTTGGTGGTGAATGCTAGTAATGCCAGCAAGTTGGGAGGCTAAAGCAGGAGAATCATGAATCAAGGTCAGCTGGGTTATAGAGCAAGACACTATTTTAAATAAAAATTTAGCCAGGCATTGTGACATATACTTTTAATCTCAACATTTGGGAGGTAAAGGCAGGTATATCTCTGTGATTTCAAGGCCAGCCTGGTCTACACAGTGAGTTCCAAAACCCTGTCTAAAAATTTTAAGAAAAAATGAAATCGTATTTCTTGTGGCCATACAAAATTAAAGCAGGAAAAAAAAAAACAAAAACAAAACCTTCTAGTCAAACCACAAGAAGACACCTAGTAAAACTCATGCTGGCATTGTTATTACAGATGGAAGAACACAATTCTAGATTTAGAACACAATACTGGTTTTGTTTATTTTTTTTCACAATACTGTTTAACTTTCTCATATATATATGGTTTGTTTTTTTTTGAAACAGGGTCTTCACTGTGTGGTTCAGGTTGGCCTTGAAACAACATCCTGCTTCAGCCTCTCAAGTACTATGTAGATCTCACAAAGACCCCACCTGTCTCTGCCTCCTGAATGCTCGGATTAAAGGCACGCACCACCATGCTGGGCAAATTTTACTGTTTTTGACTGAACTATGATTTGGTCATTTATCCTTATAGCATTTCATACATACTAGTTTTGGTTGGTCCTCTCCTCCCATGCTCCTGTCCCTCACCTCCCCCATTTTCCCCCACTCCTCCTCCCAGTATTCTCTCCTCATCGATTCTCAAGGATACTCCAACACATGTCTATCACATTCTACTTTAAAGTATGGTTAAGCACATACAAAATGTCTAAACAAACACACATGTTCAATTATAAAACTTGCTACTGGGCTATTAGTAAAATCCAAAAATCCACTTGAAACTCCCTTAATGTCCACAAATCCCTTATTAATATTCATACACTCAAAATTCTCCAAATTTTTAAGCTAGAATAACCAATTTCCCAATAGGAAAATAAACTAAATAAGGTAGATCATGTCACCAAAGAGATGACGGCTAAAAGAATTCATACAGATACAGTAAAAAAATCTTCAAAAATGACGTCTGTAAGAACATTTTTTTCTCCTCCAGAGGAGATATCACATAGTGAGCTAAGCTCCCCCTCCCAGAACTCATTCACTTTGTAGGTTTGTTTTGAAGATGGAGTCACGTTATGTAGCCCTGGCTGGCCTAAAACTAGCTATGTAGACCAGGCTAGCCTTTAACTCAAGAGATTCACCTGCCTCTGCTTCCAGAGTGCTGCAATTAAAGGTGTATGCCACCAGACTGGGCTGTAAATTTTTAAATGTAAGATGGTAGTCTGTAGAATACCACCACTATGACAATGGAATTACAAAATTTTAGGGAAAAGAATCTTTATAAAGATGTTATTTTAGGACTGCAGAGATAGCTCAGCAGTTAAAGAGCACTTACTGCTCTTCCAGAGAACTGAGTTCAATTCCCAGCATCCATATCAGGTGGCTCACAACTCTCTATAATGCCAGTTCATGGGAACCCAACACCTCTGGCCTCCACAAGAACCTGCACATACTCCCTCTTTTCCTCCTCAACAAACATACACATGAT